GAGGAAACCTCGGGTTGGAGAATGAAAATGGAAAGAGAAAGAGAGGAAGAAATAAAGCCGGGGAATAAATCAATTTTTTTTCTCAACTTCTTTCGACTGAACAGCTCGCTTCCGGGATCAAAGGGGTACGTGGGCTTTTTCCAGAGAGCGTAAAAAGCTTAATGTATTTGGATGTATTCTAAGTTTAACATTGAATGATGAAAGAAAATGGGATAAGACGATCGTCGGATCTCCAATAGAAAATCTCAATATTGAGGAAAAAAACAGATTGACATTTGAAAGCAATTAATAGTGGGTTTTCTATCCAAATAGAATCCAAACAGAAGAGTAAACAATTATCATAAAAAAATTGACCCACATTTGTTCAAAACGAACAAATCCCAACACTAATGAATTTAATATTGACTAACACATCACATCTTCATTATTTGTTCCTAATAAATAAATTCCTCTCATCGCTCAACCAAATATTTACTGACATTAGTCATGTCCCTCTCGAAATGGTGAATATCCTTTTTTTTCATTCATTCTAAAGCACAAAGAAAAGCAGTTGAAATTGAAAACAGACACCCTTGAAGTCGATTTTGATGGGAAATACATCTCATACAATACACGCATGCAATATTGCCCGGGNGCGCAGATGAGGGTGAATATATATATATATATATATATATATATATATATATATATATATAACAACAAAGTGAATATCCCCTCATCATGTGTCGATAAAAGGACGCACTTTTCCACAATATAAAAGCCAGACGGTCCCAAAGTTTCACCCGACTTTGCCACTGAGACCGCGGGTCGTGAGTGGGCGTGGCGAAAACCTCGGCTAAAGCCCTAGTGGATGCACAACCGCATGTGTATATAAGGTATATTGTATTGTATCCACGTATGTATTGAAGCGGACAACCTTCCGATCATGGATAGGGAAGGCCAACCATCCGTTGTTGGAGTGGCTTCTCAAAACACAAGGACCCCACTTTTGTGCATGTACAGACCACCCTCCACATGCTGCGTTGGTGTTACGCTTCCCTTATGTCGCCAATACTGTTTTCCATCGATTTGAGGGGGGAAGACCATCAGTGCTGCATAAAATTGAGTCTATTGAATATGAAGAACTCTATGCGGCGCACAATATAAAATTTATTTTATGTAGGCAAGATAAATATTTATTTTTTCTCCGAAAAGTCAGTCTCTTGTCGTCAATGAATTATGTGAGTAATAAGTTTTCCCACAGTGTATAAACGATCTTTCCAGAGGGTTAGAGTTGTGAAATATAGTTGGAACTTCCGGATACTGAGGATCCGAATCGACAGTCACGAATAGAAGTCCCTGGATTTTTCTAAAATCATCACATCCGCCAGAAACTACTGCGCTCGAATGGACGGATAGAAAAAGAGACCAAGAAATACGAGAGAAATAAGGAGGAAAAAGCCGGGCAAAGTTGCCCTTACCTTCACCAAGTAGGGAGAAAGAAAAAACGAGGGAAGAATATGGGTGAGGAGATATAAGTTTTTGACGTGAAGAAAAAAAAGTCTGGAGAGCATGAGCCCTCGAGGTGAATTTTTGCCAGATATCAAATATATTACCCCTGGTATGAAAAACTCGTTCAATACTTTGTTCTCTGGGGGATTTTTATTATTTTTCGTCGGGCATTCGCCGCAAGCCCTGAAAATCCAATAAAAATACTTTCCACAAATTGTGGAGGAGATTCTTCGCTACAGATAACTAAATACTGACTATAGTGTGGATTTATCATTTCACTCATTTTCTATTTTCATTCCGACGATAATTGTCTACATGAACAAAGATGAAATGAGTCGCAATGTGTGACGATTAAAGTGGGACACAAAGACCCGGTTTTATCCCGTATTTTCGGGTATTGAGGAAAGCCATAATTTTGCAACAGGCAAACGTGAGAGTAGGCGGGGCTCAATTTTTTCCCTCTTCTGATACAGCCTTCGATGCCTCGAGGAAGGCCACCGCTGATTTCTCAAGAAAATTCACTCAACAATTATGTTTTACTCCTGGGAAATAAACCGATTCGATGGATGAAATTTCAATGTTTTCATGAAATCGTATTGATTATTCATCCAGAGAAATAAAACATTCATTCCAGTAATGTTTTCATTCCATGGAATGAATAAATCATTAATTCCAAATGAATCCTCTATTAGAATGAAATAAAAAATTGATTCAATTGAAATGCACAATGAGAGAAAAATATAATTCTTCTGACTATACTCCATCACCATCGAATTATAGTCAAAAAGTCCTCAACAATTTTTCATGGATTACGGTAACTGTGGCCGGAGGAGTAATTACTGGTTGCAGTTAGCATTTTGATTTGCAAAAATGACTCTTGTGAAGTTACTATAATGTTATGTGCCGCATACAAAAAAAAATCGTATCGTTCACCAAAACTGTCTCAACTATTTTCTTATTGTAAACCGAACTTCAGATATTTCTCTCAGAGCATAAGAGTTTATTCCTTACAAATGAACAGTGTCTAGGTGAGATTTTTCTCATGCAGAAGTGACTTGTTCTTACTGCGCGGTACCAAGAACTTGTTTCTCCAAACAAAAGAAACATCTCCGATCCCTTTTTATTGCCACATTTCTCCTTTATTCTGTCCTATCTCATTACTTTGTTTTGTGTCTGCGGTATGCTGTCGCCATACCACTGAATCTCGTTATTAGCCGCGGCGCCACGTGTTGTACGTGACGGCGAGATTGAAGGCATCAACTGCATCACTGGGTTACGTTGGACAGAAGAGGACCCCCCGGTTTGTATCGGTGCTACCTCCACCGCATTAAACAACATCAACCCACTTCCACTTGGCGAATATGTGTAATGCATTGTACGTGCATCCCGGTCAAACCCTGCGTCACGTTTTATATAGAATGTTGGCACACACACCTTGCCCTGGCGCCTTCAGCGTCCCAAGTCCCAATCGTCCAAAACGGAAACGTTGATTAAGTGCCACTGTTTTTATCTCCATTTTTTTCCCCTCATTTTGTGGCTTTTCACAGTCTCGCTGCGTCCTCGTCTTACTTTATTATCGATCTTGTATGTGACCTTATTCTCTTGACAAGCTAATACTTCAATTTACGGGGGCTTCCGGCGCTTTTTCTTGGAACCAATTGACGTGGGATTACGTAAAATCGTGATGAGGGCCGAGATATTTTGTTTGTCCTGGGAATTATGGGGGAATTGGGGGGTTGAGGCTATGTTTTAGGGGGTATTCAGGTGAAGTGAGAAAACTTGAATTGAATTGAAAAAGTTGGCCGCTGAGACGAAAGAAGATTTCCCTTGGATATAACGCTCAAATACTCTTGGAAATTTTTAACATGTTTTAGTTTTACTGGAATCTCAGATTGCAGTTCGGAAAATTCAGATGATCTCGCATTTTCAATAAATTTAAAATTCAGCGTAATTTCTCTCCTTGGAACCAGTGAATAACGTTCTGGTAAAAAAAATCTCTCAGTGTCATTTTAATTATCCAATGAATTAATTAGTTCAATTTCAATCCCAAAAAGAGTTTAATGGCGATCACGCATGAAATTCACACCGATAAAGAAACCCACCGAACGCGAAAAGCCATAAAATGAAGCTTTTGTTGGTTCATAATTGCAATTTTAATTACATCCCCTGGAATGTCGCCAAAATGACAATTTAATATTAACGCGTTAATGCACGTCCCCTGCAGCCCGGGATAAAAACTCACCGGGTTTATTGTCTCATATTATTTTTAATGCCTCAATTCGCCATAGGATGCTATCAAATATCCAACGAAACATGCGGGAAAAGCTCGGGGTATTAAAATAGAACGATTATTGAGAGCCAAATCGATTTATCGAAATTACGAGGCTAGAGTGAAAATGAGGTTAACAATATAGAGTCCACGGCATATAACACAAGTACGTGACTGGACGAGCTGAGGAGAGGAGAGATGATACATGATAATGCCCTGTGTGAGGCGTATCTAAGGCAGGGTGAAGATTAAGAAGAAGGTAGGGAGGTATTTTAACTCCATGAATCGTAACGATATAACGGAATCGCTGGCATAAGGTATGTTCACTGGATTATTCCTTCAGGACGAATCGAATTGTTGTCTGTGATTAGGGGTTTGGCATTTCAATGCAGTCCTTGGACAAATATAAAAAAACTTTTTGACGAAAAACTTTTTACGTCAAATGACGTGAAAAGAAGCCAAAGAATTCCTAAAGGGTTCGTTTTTCCTCTCTCCTTTCAATTAACATTTTCAATTCCTTCAGGGCTTCTAATGCTCCCGAGAATCCCTCCCAAAAAACTCTCGTTACCCTGAAATGTTGATATATATGAAAGTCGGTTGGAATGCAAGACTTGGAAATACTTGCAGCGTGGAAATAAACGAGCCCAGGGGCAGAATAGACGAGATGTACTAGCGGCCGCAAGACGAGAAGAGGGAACCGTCCACATTCGTGTGGGTTTGAGCGCCGCAAGACGTTCATCTAATGGAAGAAGACCAGCGGTAATTACATGAGGGCGGTAACGAAGAATCGTGCCAGGCGGTTGTACACGTCGAATTAAAAAAAAAACTATCGGCAAGACAAACAGAGAGAAATGGGAGAAATTTTTTATTCAACCCGGTGTGCCCTTTAATTGTATCATCACAGGGATATGGGCTTCGAAGGGAGAAGTGAAGAAAGACCTTCGTGCGTACACACACAAATGCATAAAGATATTGTACGTACGTATGTCGCATTCGGGATGTAACCCGTTGGAGTATCGACCAGAGGGTTTTTGGGAAGGTGAGAGGGTATGTCTCATTGTGTCATTAAACTCCCACGCATTATCTCTCTGAGATCCGGGGAATATAAATTTTCCAGGCGTATTTCACGCGTTAAAACGCCGATTTAATGGATTTCAAAAATGCTCAGATGCCTCGATTCAGACATTACAAAAAAATAAGTCAATTCATATTATCGTGCTGCTTTTGTATTGACACTTACCCGCGCAGACAATCACCAGGAAAAAAATTGGAAAATCCATGGCGATACCTCGATTCCCCTCAGAAATGAATGAAAAAACCCACGTTGACGTAGCACTACGTTTCCGTCAGACGACGCACATGGTGCGTAACGTTGTCAGATACATGTGGAATGAGAGACATTCACTCCCCTCAACAACAAGAAAGAAAAAAAACTAAAAAACTGGGCGATAATTTCGACGATGCACTTCACTGGATTTCACTCGGTTTTTCAATCCTCCCTCTTCCCAGTTGTTATTCCCCTCGTTCATCCACTCACTTGAAGAACCGTCACCCCCTTCCCCCTTTTCTACGTTTTTCTTTTTCTTTATTTAATGACGACAACCACGACAACCACGCGTGTCACTGTCGTCTCACTCACGTCTCGTGGTTCATTCACATGGCTCTCAGCACTCGTCCTCTAAACGCTTGACAGAGTACATGCCACCCGGCTTGTGGCTTCAAACAAATTCAACAACAATTAAATATCAATTATGATGGATCAACATTAAAAAGACAAGTTTCTCTTGAAATTCATATTTATTCATTGTAATCTCCAAATGGGCATTTACACATCGACAACACGATTCACTCGTGTTTTATAATATCAGCGTCGGGCTGTGGCTGTAGCCGCGGTGCTACTCCCCGCGGAGGAGGCACGAACGCGCTTTTACTGTGATGCGCTTTATATTCGGGCGCCGAGAGAACTACTAACTTCCCAAGTGAGCCTGCGTGCGCCTCGCGCTCGCCACGATCGGTTAGGTAGCCGATCTCTCCCTCCACTTTATCATTTCTCTCTCTTGCTCATGCCTCACTCACTCTCTCTCTCTCTCTCCCTCGATTCTCTTCCCTTCTCTCCGCCGTTCTGCCCCACATCCGCCATTATCTTTCTTCAACTCTCCGCGTTTTCCCGTATTTTCAGGCCTCGATGTATGACTCTATCTCGTTCTTTCTCCTTACGCGGTGCGCCGTCGCGCGTCGCGTTGGCCCACACGGAGTATTGACCGGTTCCCCTGCGGTACATGACGACGGGAACAGCAGCAACAGAACAGCAGCAGACAACAGTGCTTTTTGTGGAGATGTGTGGGTGAATGCGCGCGCAGGTTCACATCTATAAGTTGAAAGTGTAGATGATTTCGGCACGCGAGGGGGAGGGGGGTGTACACGAGGATTTGCCGGTGAGATTTTGCGACGTTGCCAGGTTTGGAGGGATGGGGAGATGTGACAGGTTTTTTGGGGATTTATTCTGGGGTTGAAGGGGTTTGAGAGCTGTTGGATGGGTTTCGGAGGGGGTGGGGGGCTACCTGATCCTGTCGGAATGGTTTAACCCCCTCTACACCTCATTTTTCCAGCTACGTGCCGCGTGTACGCGAGCAGGGGGTGCCCACTTGTCGCGGTTCTGCGTGAATTTCAGGGAGCACATGCCTTCGCTTGAGGGCGGCGAACGAAAGTGGGAGGTGGCAGGAGAAAAAGAGGCTTTTAAATGGGAGAAAAAAAGCGTGAATGGGGGAAGAGTTTCGTGCTCCAAATTGTTTCCAGTCCGGGGTTGTACCTGTTTCAGGGCTTCGGGGTATTTGTCCTTTTTGCGTGTCGCGGGGGCATGAGTTTTGAAACTATATTTGGAGTTCGATGAATTGCGTTTGGGGAATTTATAGTTTTGTTTCTCCTGGTTTCTCGGGTTGAATGGAATTGCAGAGTTAAACGCCAGTCGGTGCGCATTTGAATAACAAAAGGGATTTTTTGAGGTAATACGATATTTATGTTGTGGTTAAATGCCGGGGGCTGAGTATAACTGAGGGTTGAGTAACAGAATCGAAGGAAATTCGGGGATAATTACAGTTAGAAACGTGCAACGCCATGTACTCGAAAAATCTCATAATTATCAATGAATACTGGAGAAAAGTTTTTTGTTCTCTCACTGTAACATTGGTAAGTGCTTTTCGTGAATCCTGAATGCCTGCAATCGAACGATAAACTCTCCCCCCCTCCCCCAATTAGGAACTCAATACGAAACTTGTAAAATATCGTTCAGCAATTGAAGTTTCCTGCAGAACACTACACCGTGATATCTTGTAAATGCCCACTGAGCATTCCCCTGAAAAACGTCTCCGAGCACTTATCTCGGTTTCATTTATCTCTCCAAAGATAAATGAAACGCAACATCATCAGAAAAATACGAAAAACTGCTTACTTTTTCTTCTCAGAAATTAATCCGCTGTAGCACACGGGTAATCTACTCTACTTCTTGGCTGAGTTAGATTACACGTACAAGTGGGATTAATTGCCTGTCTGTGGTACAGTGGATAACTTTAACGACGTATATGTACATGGAGAAGCGTCAATGCACTGCATCCCGCATCGGCAGTCCTTCTTCCTTTCGTTCCTTTCGTTCCGTCGCATCCCTTCTAGATTTGTTACTCCCCGGGGCCACAGAATTGATCTTCGCACAAAGGGGGGTGGGGGAGGGGCATATCCCTTTGTAAATCGTTTCCCTTCACTCGTAGTTTGCATATCGACTTCTGTCTGCCAAAATTGTACTCAACGTCATGCGACGGAGGAATAGGACATGATTGACGCAGACTTGAGGCAATATGTTTGATTCCTTCGGAGTTCATGTTTCAATGTGTGAAAAATGATATGGATTCTCGATGGATACTAATCCCCAGGACGTGACGATATGAAAACTTCAATTTCATGGATTTGGGTGGAAAAAAAAATTGCGGGAAGAAAAATTACAGAGGAATTGCAAAAATTGGAAATTCATTTTGAAATCATAAAGAAAATAGAATCATCGATTGGATTAAGATATAATTGGATTGGATTTGTGATGAATTAAATTCATGTTTCATTTTAATTGAAAAGCGTTACATCGGTTCAGTGAAATAATCCTCGATACATTCTTCAATAGGGAAAAAAGGATAAACCGGAGAATAATGGGACACTACGCATGAGTGGCTCTTCACATCAATTAGAGCTTGAAATCCCTCAACGCCCTGCGCCCCATTGTTTAATATCGTTTATTAGCCAGTTTCAAAGTGGAGCCCAGTTGTTGTTCCTATGGCAGCTCGAACCTGGCTTACATTCGTTTTTGAACAATAGGGTCAGAGGGGGTCGTTGTCCCATCACTCTCCCCTCTTTTCACCTCTAGTTCTCGTCATTCCGTTGGGTGAGAAACTACCCTTGTGACAAGTGAAACTCCATCGAAGTCCACTCGAAATGAATTTCATGCACACGTGACTCTACTGTATTAAACCGGAATTAATCTTCTTCGGGAGTAAATACGATTTGAATTGACAATGGGGATATTTACACAAGCTTTTGCTTCATTAAAAAGGCAATTAACGGTGCGTGATGGTTTTTCAATTGTTGGGTGTGAAGTAGTTATCGGCAAATTTTCCTCTAATTCTTCATATTTCATCATTTTTTCCACTAAACGAAATTATCGTATAAATTAATACCGAGTGGATATCCATGTGTGTAAAGACTCAGACTGGAAACCTAAGGGTCGTGAGATCAAATCCTATCTCAAATTGATTGATGTCACATTTCGGCAAAAATAAGAAAGGAAACTTTAATTGCTTTATTTGTTCAAAGAGAAATATGACAAAAAAATTTTTCAATTGTGATAAATAATGGAAAACGCATTGCATCATTTTTCTTCAGTGACAAAATCATGGGATAATAAAGAGATGTCAAGCAACAGCCGGAGTTTTCCATTATTTTTCAATTATTCAAGTAAAAAAATGAAAAGAATTTTTCAAATGGTATGTTTATTCAGTTAAGTGGCTTTCATCATTACGTTCTGGTTGTTTTCTCACTGAAAATTGTCGTTTCATTTCAAAGGCAATGATCCCAAGTGCCATGCCTGTATTGAGACTCTCAACGCCATTAGTCATCGGGATGTTGAGCCGTAAACCATTCCTCTCGTGAACGAGAGCAAGGGCTTCCAGACTCACTCCCTCAGTCTCGCCCCCCACAATGATGATGTTCTCATTATTCTGATAATTTGTGGAGTAGTACGGAATTATGGGAATTGTCGAGATCAATTTCTTCGCCAGTTTAGCGTCCCTCTCGCGTTCTCGATAATTCTTGAATTCCGCAAGTTGTTCGACAGATTTGAAGAGCTCGTCTTGAGCCTCGAAGGACTCATACTCGTCCGGAGAAGGTGCGTCCTCCTGGGAATTGTCAGACTTTTCCACGAGTATCTGGGAGTCCTCAGTGTCATCGAGCACTTCACCCTCATCCTCTTCAAGGACTTCTGCCCCAGTTTCCTTCTCTAATACTAGTGCGTCGTTGTCGGCCACCCAGACTTGTGCCGATGGATCGATCATCGTTCGAACTTCCCTCCACGTTCTTGTTGCGAATATGGGCATGCGGAAGTGAGCACCTGAGGCACTACGGAGCACTTTCGCATCCCAAAGATCAACACAGCCTGTAATTGATTTATTGTTGAGAGTGGTTGATTGGTTTTTCAGAGCTTTGGAGGAGGGATTTTGGAGTTTTTCCTACCTTTGACGAGAATTAATTGCTTACAACCTACTGCAGCACAGGCTCGGAGGATTGAACCCAGATTTCCGGGCTCTCTGACGTTGTCACAAATTACTGTGAGGGGAAGGGCTTCCGGGGATGCTTGAATGCTCTCTACGTCTGGTGTTTTGAAAAATCCTGGTGGGGAGGGGAGGGAATAATCATAATTTTTAGCAACTCCTGGCTGATATATTTTACGTTATGAAGATGGAAAACAATCGACATAACATTCGAAAGAAGATTTTATGGGTTTTCAGTATTTTTTGATAAAAAATGCTGACACTATAAAATTCATTTCACCCCATTTTCTTCTGTATTTTTTTCACTTTTTCAGTGTGATTTGGAGGCATTTAAAAATCCCCTGGTGACTTTTAAAGATACAAAACTAAGAATTTTAAATTTGTCGCATTGAGAATATATCTCACCCATTACTCCTGGAGAAGTGGTCAACGTTGACCACGTCTGAATAGCTCTGTAAGGTGTTTTGTATAATTTAACGCCCACATCGGGTAGTGGGAGCTTCAAAGCATCCGCAATTCTGCTGAAAATTATTATCTCAGGGACACTACCAGCGTCGAGAGCATCTGTTATTAATCTGTGACCTTCTAGAATTACTCGACTATTTTTATCCCTGGTTTTTCTGGATCTAACTGACATCATCAAGTTCCTGGGAACAAGTACTCCGATTTCAAACTCCCATTCGTCAATTTTTTGATAAATTATCGTTAGAAATTTATGTATTTTTAATGAATTATAATCTTTGAAAACGTTGTAAAAAAATATTAGAAATGTCTTACATCAATAGGGGATCGTTCTCTTTGAGTTCAGAATAATTGAGACGACCGTCCTCCTTGAGAGGTGTGTCAGCTTTCGTAACAACAATCTTCTTCTTGAGTTTTCCCTTCTTCGATCTGACCTTCAAGGGCTTCCTCTTCTCGACCTCGAGGAATTCATTCGGCCCATTTGCCTCCTCGATTTTCTCCAGTATCTCTTCCTCGTTGACAACACGCACTGGCCGACGATACGCAACATCTGAGTATCTTTGCACTTGGCTTATCGTTCGTAAATTAAGACTTCGTAAAGAATTCGAACATTGCAAACATTTTACTGTTAATCTTAAAGTGTTGAACAGCATTTTGTTCTTTTTAAGGAATACAACAATGGAATAAACAATTTATGCACTGGGACTTGTGTAAGCACTCATTTCTGTTTCATTTACGAACGGTCGAATGTCAGCTTGTGACGACTTGAGAACCCGACCCTTGAATGTCATGGGAAGTCTGCGAGACCGGGAAATTATCGAACTGTTGAATTTTTTAGCGTTATTATCGATTGAATTTCGGAGCAACAACACGTTTTCGATTTAGGATATGTAGGTTAGAATGCTACCATGGGAGAGGTTTCATTAATTTCTTTTTCCACAGTAGCACGCTATCTAGTGAGAATGGGATGGAACAACTGCTCAGAAGAACAGTTTCACAGTAGACAAGGAGACTTGCGATCGGTCAAACAGCGTCGGTAAGGCTAATGAGCCAATTTGGCTCATTACCCTCTGCAAGCCGGAGAGATTTCGTCTATTCCCTTTATTCAAATTCAAATGACGTTAATAAATTGTTTTTTTTAAATATAAACAAATGTTTTCTTGATTCAAATAGAGACTTCATTAGCCGGAAACGAAATTAATACTCACCAATATTGTGCGAAGAGAAATATTTCATTAACATTATTCTACAGTTCTATCTAAAAAGAACGTAGGGGAGGATGGGGTAAAAAATGGACACTTTGGACTTTTTAAAAATTATTCATAACTCAGAAAAAAATTTATCAATTGAACTCAGTTTAGGCTCGTCACAAAGGGAAATAATTGTTCTTTGTATTAAAAAAAAATTATTAGATTTTATCAACATTTCAATCCCTCATTAACATTTAAAAAAAAGTGACAAGTGTCCGTTTCACCCCAACTTCCCCTACACTTAAAGTCGATAATTATCGATATCTCGCAAGTCTGTCACGCGTATTCCTCATTGGTTCCAGTCGTCTGAGGCGGCATATTTAATTCATGATTAATTTAATTTTGAAATTTTCAATTATGATTGTTACAATTACAGCGCGCTGTAGCGCGCGTTCGGTCTCGTTCTAAAAAGAACATACGCCGTAAGCTGTAGCGTAACGCTTATTCCTCGAATTTCATTGGTCGAACATTCGGATCCGTCCGCACGTGTTCGACTTCGGTCGGCGTTTGGTTTTCGTGTCACGATTTGTCTTTAACACGCGCGCTCAAGCGCGCGATCGTTCTCGTTATATAAAAGTAGCATCACTCACTTCAAATCCAAAATTTAGTAAAATTGAGTATTAAACAATAAAACGAACTTTCATCCCTCGTTTAATAAATTTTCTTCTTACCGATAATAGTAATAATAACAGAATATCAATGAGAGTTTTCTTCTTCTCTACATCGAAATGATTTTTATTTTTCCATTATGGAATGAACAATTCACATCGAATCAAAGTCCTAACGAGTTGCATATTGATGATTCAATTTGATTTGGACGATGAGTCAGGTGTGCAGCCAGTACACTGACAGCGTGATGTGAGAGGATTGCAGAATCCCCCTGAGAGCCCGTCCTTTATGCAGAGGAGGAAGCAAAGGCCATTATACGAAGGTCTACAACTGGGGTTGTTTGTGGATGGACAATCGTTCGCATCGATACCCAGTGTGACCAGTGTCACCAATATCGTGATAGTGAAAAGGCGGGAGAATAATTTCATCTAAACAGAGAAAAATGTGGTTGATGCTGAGACACCCACGAGTATTTAGGCCACCGCTGACTTCTCAAGAACATTCACTCAATAATTATGTTTTACTCCTGGGAAATAAACCCATTCGATGGATGAAATTCCAATGTTTTCATGAAATCGTAATGATTATTCATCCAGAGAAATAAAACATTCATTTCAATAATGTTTTCATTCCATGGAATGAATAAATCAGTACTTCCGAATGAATCCTCTATTAGAATGAAATGAAAAATTGATTCAATTGAAATGCACAATGAGAGAAAAATATAATTCTTCTGACTATATTCCATCACCATCGAATTATAGTCAAAAAGTCCTCAACAATTTTTCATGGATTAGGGTAACTATGGCTGGAGAAGTAATTACTACAATGGAATGTAGTCATTGCAACTATTTTATAGTTCTCCTCGCGATAGATTTGTCGTGGTTACTTTTGAACTTTGGTTAGTTTAACTGTATTTTGATTTGCAAAAATTACGCTTGTGAAGTTAATATAATGTTATGTGCCGCATACAAAAAAAATCGTATCGTTCACCAAAATGCCTCAACTATTTTCTTATTGTAAATCGAACTTCAGATTTTTCTCTCAGTGAAAAAGGCGTTTACGTAAATGAATATAGAGATGATGGAAAAATTGAAAGGATGCATTGGAAGTAAAGTCATTCGGATACATACCTTGATGCCTGGATATTGAATAAACGTAGCTTGAGGAATACAGTCGGTTAATGTCTGACATACTCCAGCGTTCACCCGTTTCATACTACTTGGACTATGGAATAATCTACGCACCGATTTTAATAGCTTGACGTAATTTCTTTTACTCCTTGATAAGAATAAATTATTCCGAAACGTGTCATTCGGATAGCGAAATCATTCTATTTAAATAAATTGCCTTCATCATTTTATGCTTCTGAAATATTTGATTTTATCAGTAATAATTAGCTGCAAGATTCCTCCCGTCACAACTTCGTCCCGTGATTGGAGCGCAATTTTTTATTGTAATTCTAATCAATAATCAAAGACTTCAAAGCCATTCGGTATCGGCGATTGGTATTCTACTGTTATGGCGGTTTAATAGATACAGTTCCTTGAATTTCTAATTAATTAGTCGAAGATTATATTTAAATCATTACTCAAACGAATATTTTTAGTCTTTTGTGATGAAGACACCGTCGCTACAGTTTTATAATTTCTTATCTACCACTTGAGAGGCCGTAGAATTTACTCAAAACAAGGTGAACCGAATTGAATTATAGAGTAGAGACAATATTAAGATGAATGAACGATTTTAATGGAATTATCAACACGATTCGAGATTTTTATTACCTTTTTCCTCATGTTCACACGTAAAAACAAAAAACTATTGCCTTTGATGGAAATTAAGGGATAATTTTTATTTTTCTACCAGACAGTACGATTGATTATTATTACATAAAGTGGTAATTTCAAGTAATTATTAGCAGCCCTCGCACCAACACTTCAAGCTCGGGCTACAGTGGCCAGAGATTCGGCCCTCCTCTTTGCAGACACGACGACATGTCTCATTGTCCCAAACAGCGCAGGGACCTTTATATCTGCCAGATTTACAATCAGCATTCGCTGTATTGGCACCCAGGGCCACGATCATCATAACAGCGAAGAGAAGATACAAGAATTTCATCTGAATAAAGAACAAGCTCACTGATAGAGATATCCACTGCCTGGATTTATTAATTAATTTTGTTTGAAAAATGGTGACACACACTAAAAAATTTTATAGAACATTCATCTTGATTTTTAGATTCTGCATAATTTCAAAAAAATATATATTTCGTTTCCACCTTTTTATTTCTTGATAATGAATTTCAGAAAATTTCTATTTATTTCCAATTATTTTGTATAAAAATTTACACATAATTCAACTGAAATTATGAATGTCCTATATAAATTCGAGATTGATGGCATAATTCACTTCAATTGGAAGAAATACCTTAATGCGATGGGTTTATTAAATAGCGGAACTCTTACCTTGGTGTTTGAATTTTGGTAAATAATACGTCGTAAGGATGACCAGATAGCTGTTTAACAATCCACGATTCTTGTCGTCTTTTATACTCCATCGACTCCAAAATCTTTCAAGTGGGCGTGCCGATCAATAGCGCCTTTGAGGAAAAATTTAATCTCAATGGGTATGAGGAAAAAATGTCATTATTATTAATACACCATGTGGAGATATCTAATTGCGATTCTAGAAAGTGGAACAACTCGAGATTTGATAGCGATATTTTTGAGGAAAATTTTATTTACTATATGATTTCATTCAAACTGCTAATGAGAATGCAAATTGTGATTTAGGTAACTAGCGAAGGGATTATGAGGTATAGAAAGATGTGGAGTCTTTCGCCATTTTGATTTATTTGATTAATGATATGCTATTATTCTCGACTTCGATGTGATGGACCAAAAAAACTTTTGGAAAATTCCGAATTTCGGGATTGGCCCATTGGTGTCATATAAAAAAACTTTAGTTTTAGAGATATATCCCGCACGATAAAATTTCATACACGGAGAGAAATGTTCAGTAAAAATTACGGAACTCTCACTTCACTCACCGATTACGGAATCGACTCAGAAAATTTAAGTGACGGTATCGTAATTTTTCACAAGAGATTGAAATAAAAATTATATGCCCGGTGGCCTGGCGTAGTGGTTAAGGCCGTTGCCTCACAACGGATAGGTTCCAGGTTCGATTCCTGGCCGGGGAGAATGGTGAGATCTAACCATTTTTAAAGTCTTGATCAATCGCCATATAGTCTCATCAGACTCGAAGCGATATAAAAAATAAGCATAAAAAAAAAAAAGATAAAAATTACGGAACGCTCCGTAAAAATTCCGTGATAGTTCCGTAAAATTTCCTACAACCACATTTCGCTCCGGAATTACGGAAAAGATACGTAATTTTTATTGAATATTTCTCTCCGTGTAGAAAAGCCTAGTGTTACTCGCGTTTTTTAAATAAAAAATATTCAATTGAAACTATTTTACCGAAAAAATGAGTAGATTTTCATTTTTCCATCTTCTTAAAAAACAACACATAATAGATCAGCGAGTTCAGTTCATAATGAAATAAATCATCACATTGTTCACATGAATCGTTCGGTACGTTCATAAACGAGACAGTTTGACGATCAGTAGGTCAACAAAACACTCTTAAATTTTTATTGCATCAATCGGCAGAGCCTAATATTTGAATCATGAACCCACAAATGATACATTGCGCTGCCGACTGAGCCATTGTAGACCCCTGTTTGATTCTCATTAGGTCTGAAATATCAAATTCCTTTGGGAACTTCCAAGAAATCCCGAGAGATGGCACTCATTCTCTACTTTCACTATCAAAATGTTCAAACAATTCAAACCTGGCAGAATGATCAACATGGAAATCACTCACATATTACGCACAATGAGATGACAATTGATGGAGCGATGCATTGCGATTCATTGTCGATAATCAAACTCAATAATATAATTTAACATTTTCCTCTCTTGGGCATTAATGCCTTCAATCATTCACTTCTCAAGAAATTATCGAGACATGAATTTCTCCCCATTAATGATTCCATTTTTACAATGAGAAATAGATGAATCGAGGCATTTCTCCATCTTTGGCATTTCCACAAATGTTTACATCAGAAGAAAAGTCTTCGGAAATTAAGAATAATTACAAAAAAAGAGAACTTGAGCATTTGAAATGGAAATAGCTGATGGAATTATTGAGAAGCATCTGGAGGGGATGCGAAGTGCGAGATAATCCTCTAGATGTTTGAATCTAGATGCGCACCGTTGGGTTTGTACGGAACACAAGGTTACAGCGGTCGTGGGGTCAGCAACACCACGGCCGCCCTTCCCTCCATACATTGCCCTCTCTCTCTCTCACTCTTCACCCTTCGTTTCTACTCCATCTCATCTCATGCGCTGTACAGCCACCCCTCCATTTCCATCTCCCTTTTATTCCATTTTCTTCTTCCTTCGCAGTCCTTCCAGACTCTTCTCACTCTATCAACACTTGTATAATATTCTGAGGCAGAAATTGTATCCACCGTGGACACTATCTGCCCTTTATATTGTTTAGTCGATTTTCTGCTCATTCCATTGTTTCTCGTGCTCTTGGCGATGTAGAATTTCTGGGATGAACTAGAGAGGATTGTTTGTCCAAGAAGTTTTAAGAATTATAAAATTAATTCAATTCAATTTATTTTCCTTGATCTTACAAGAGTTCTTTCCTTGTTTTACATCTCCACCAGCCCTTCTTTCTCCACCTCTCCTTATATTATTTATTACATGCCTATATAGATGTTTTAAACTTTGAAATTTTAACTAACAACTCAAATAGTTCCTTTTAACACATTAATTATAAAATTCATTGATTACCATACCTTCCCATTGGAAGTGGAAAAACTTCAAATGAAAATTTTTTAATACAAAGATATAAAATGTCTTGAGGAGGATTATTTGCTGGAGCAATATAAGTGACCACGAAAAAACCCGAGGAAATGTCAGGAGAGTAAAAAAGAATTAGAGGGAGGAGTACAGCCATCGTTCTGACAGAGACCAGTCATCTCATCCTAAGAAAAAAATGATATTTCAGGCTCCGTACAGCTATGGCACTCAAATGCATCCAGAAAATCGTGTAGGTGGGCGGAATGGTACTTTTTCTACCCCGTCAGGATTTTTTTTATCAACCCCATATACCCATTTATACATAGCTCCCATGTAGTAGGGTGGTCTTGAAGCACTGAGAGCCAACCGATAGAAGGGAGCCTGGAGTTGTCTCGTTGGAGGGGGTGTCTGGGTCAATCCCCTCCATGTCTGGGAGTTGCCAATTGCACACGCATTTCCTGACGTTTTCCAAATAATTCATCATTCGTATATGATGAAATTACGATAATTTTTGGAATAAAAATATTTCCGGTTGTGTTTTTCAGTCCATTTTCCAATTTCATTCAATTATTGGAATTCGTGGAATAATTGCACGGAGAGAAATATTCAGTAAAAATTACGGAACTTCAATTCACTCACCGATTACGGAATGGACTCAGAAAATTTAAGTAACGGTATCGTAATTTTTCACCAGAGATTCAGATAAAAATTACGGAACGTTGTGGAAAAATTGCGTGACAGTTCCGTAAAATTACCTACAACCACATTTCGCTCTGGGATTCCGGAAAAGATACGTAATTTTTATTAAATATTTCTCTCTGTGTGTTCCTTTAATCGCTATTTGAAAAATTGATAATCAATGAGTTACTAATTTAATTGTTTTGCGAATTGGAATGATCAGTTCAGTAGTAGTAGTCATGTTTTTTTTCACTTCACCGTTTTTAATCAATAACTAAACAATTAACGATCAACTGCCTAATAATTTTATTAATTCTCGGTGATTTACTGAAATAAGGAGTGAGTGTTCAATAATTTTTATTCAAATTTCACATCAAGCGACAAGTTTTCTTTATTCGCCCTAATATTAACTTTAAATTTTATTGAATGTTGTTGGAATATGAAAAATATAAAAATTATATAAAAGAGGATGAAGAGTAGAAGTGGCACAATTGGTTCAGTGGGGCGGTGGCCCCACGGCCTTGGAAGGGGACACTGATCTCGACACGGTCTGTGCTGCACCAGGCTGTTACTCCTATATGCACAGAGCGTTCTGCGTTCAATTGCTCTCCGAACCATTTTACCAATACATTCGCATGTGCATGGCGAGGGCATTCCCCACTCTCCCTCTCTCTCTCTCTCTCTCT